ATTAGATGCCCTAAAGTAATCATATGAAATTAGCGAATCGGTGTATCTAAGAACTCACACACTGTCTGAGATTAATTAGTGTGTGCCCAAACATTTAATTTGAATTGCATGTTTCAGAATTCAGCTAGATGGGTTGTATATATATTTACCGACTCCATCTTTGGTTAGATGTTAATTTGATATATGTCATGGCTGACAAACCCTTACCTTTCTAGAGAAAACCCCTTTTTTTTTTTTTTTTTGACATAAAAGTTATATCTGTTTCAAACAAAATCAGTAATTAAAACATGTACAATTCTCCTCAAAAGCTATGGAAGAAGGAGAGAAAGGGAGAAACACAGAAGGGAATAAAAAAAGAAGGAAAGCTTTTCTCATTAACTGCCCATTATATGCAAAAAGGCGAACCAAAGCTTTGATTCACCTAAAGAGAAACGCAAGTAGAAAGGCTAGTCTCTTTTTAAGAGAGAGAGAGAGAGACAGAGAGAGAGAGAGAGAGAGGGGCGAGAGACATGCAAATGAACAAGGCTCAGTAGTAACCCTTAATCAACTTTAAATGGTTAATTGTATTACCTTAGCTGGAAGCTGAGGAAGCAAAGTATGAAGGTTAGCAAACATGTTCCTCATCTTCTTCCTCCTTTCTCTCTCTGTCAATATATGCATCTCATGGTCATCTGACTCATTACCCCCTGAAACACCTTTTCCCTTATCACCAGTTCTAGTACTCCCCTTCCCCTTCGCCTTCACATTCTTGCCCACACCTCCTCCTCCTCCTTTCCGCTTCTTCCCCGCTGCAGGTGGCGGCGGCACTGTCTTTTCCTGATTATGACCTTCTGCACTAATTTCCATCACAGCTGTCTCTTGCTCCTTCCCCAAATTTTTCTCTTCATCACCACCACCACCTGAGTTGTCAGAATTAAAATACAAATTAGCCCATGACTGGTTTTCCCACAACAGACCCTCAGTGAACCCTCCTGCTTCCCCTTCAGCCATTATAGCTAGAGAGAGAGAGAGAGAGAGAGAGAGAGAGAGAGAGAGAGAGAGAGAGAGAGAGAGATAAGGAGGGGGTATGAATTATGAAAGATGGAGATGGGGTGAGGAAGCGTTTAAAAAGGTGGCAAAGCAATAGGGGGGTGTGGGTGTGTAAGAGAGATATGTTTTTGGTTGGCAAAGTATGAATCCAAAATACAATCATTTTGCCATGCCGTTACTATGCATCAAAACAAAAACGGATAGCCTAGGCTATGCGTATTCAAGGGCCCCACAAGGGCACTCACCGACCCCATCTGCCCTAATACCACCTGATACCCAAAAACCAAATTACCCTCGGCCCTCAAATTAAACCCATTTTCTCATTTTGCTTTTAGGATTTTTCAACAAATCTGAGTAGGTATTGGTATAGGAACTATTTATTAACAATCCTTAGTAATTGGTATTGGTATAGGGTCTCTGAATTAGGGATACGATTTTGCTCGTACTACTTTAAAAGAATTCGCCGTTATATAGTAGTTCTGTACTGGACATAACGTTTTTAAAATCATTTTACATACCTTAAAAGAAAGAATGAGAATAACGCTTTCAATATACCATAAGTGCGTTATATGTAAGTACCGTTAAGGATAACTACGTTTTATTTTATTATTGACAGAAAACAAGACAGTATATCCGGCACTGTTTGATACTCAAAACTACGTGTCTTTTTGATATCGTAGCCTCCAAAAGATACTACTAGTGATCACTTGTACTCTTTGGATTAGCATATATGAAACCACCACTTAGTTATGAGCTAATGAAGTAGTGATTAAGTTGAATATTGTATATGTCTAAACGAAATTGTGATTTTTGAAATTAAGCAACTCAACCATTGTACTACTTCCATCAAATTTTCTGTTTTGGTCAATAATAATCAACTAATTAATATAAAAGAACAAACGAGAAAGGCTTCGATAAGCCGAAAAAGATCGGATCTTTGGCCGAGTACACTGCTGCAGAAGAAAAGAGTGTTAGCTCTTAAGCCCAAAAATCTGAGTTTTGTTGAAGCTGCTAGCCTTCCCCTGGCCATTGAGACTGCCTATGAAGGGCTCGAACGAGTTGAATTCTCTGCCGGTAAATCCATCCTTGTTTTGGGAGGCGCTGGGGGAGTCGGAACACATGTTATTCAGGTACAATGTTAATCAAGTGCAAACATTTTCCATTAAGTTAGGCTGTAATTAAGTAAAGCTGATCGATGAATTATTCATGACACTCAATGTGTTTATGTGAGGCAGCTAGCAAAGCATGTGTTTGGTGCTTCAAAAGTAGCAGCTACAGCGAGCACGAAAAAACTTGATCTTTTGAGAAGCTTTGGTGCTGATTTGGCTATTGATTACACCAAGGAGAACTTCGAAGACCTGCCCGAGAAATTCGATGTGGTTTATGATGCAGTTGGTATAGTTCTTGAATCTTCATCGTTGTTTTTTTCTTATACAAAGCAAACACAAGGACTGATGTTGTTTTGTGTTTCTGAAATTAACAAAAATAGGGGAGACTGACAGGGCATTGAAGGCGGTGAAGGAAGGCGGGAAGGTATTGACAATTGTTCCACCTGCGCCACCGGCATTCCTTTTTATGCTGACTTCAACCGGAACTGTATTAGAGAAACTGAAGCCTTACTTGGAGAGTGGGAAGGTGAGGCCGGTGCTTGATCCCACCGGCCCGTATCCATTTTCGAAGACCGTTGAAGCATTTGCCTATCTTGAAACCTCCAGAGCTACCGGAAAGGTGGTTGTGTATCCCATTCCATGAAATCATAGAGAGTACTAGTTCAGCCATGCAATCTGTTTGTGTGTGATATATACTTGTATCCTGCTGCCTGCTGTTTAAAAAGACTTGTAATAAGGGCGGCGCAATCATATCTATTAATATAGTGCTTCGAGTTTGGCTAGTTTTCACTGTGTTTTCTTCCTACTTGCTCATTGCTGTGTTTTTCCGCTTTAATTAACACGGGTATTGGTTAGAGCAGATGTATTCCCTCTTATATATAGCACTTCCATTTGAACTAGGTCAACTTCAAAAGTACAGGTGTTTTTTTATCTTCGTCTTGTTTTTTATTGTTGTAGGTGTGATAAGTAAGAAAGTTAACTTCAATTGCAAGCCTTAGTCGTGAAAAATAAGAAACAAAACTTGAGTTGCGTAACTTGTTCTCACCCATTGAACCTCAAGTGACAATGCCTGCACAACATTCTCCCTTCATCAACTATAAAAGTGCAATTGGGTTTATAATAAAAACTTTGGTTTGTTTTTATGGAAAACTAACCAAAACACCCTCAAAAGTTTCACTTTAATCATCAGGACAAAACTTAGCAAAAATGCCAATCATGCCCTTCACACATCCATACAAGATTGCTCAGCAATTTCAGAAAAATTTTGCATGTCAAAGATAAGGTGGCAAACTTTGCAGCAACCAAGACAATATGGATTCACGTGGCCTTCAACAGCTTTCAGAAACAGTGCTGACAGCTTTCAGAAACAGTGTGTTGTCACCATCAAAAAGTTGTAAATATTGAAAAAATTATTTTGTTGTTTAGGAATCAGCTTTTGTATAAGGGAGTCTTTCCTCCCATATAGAACACACCTGAATACCACACACATATCTCAATATCTGAAAACACCATACACTCAAGCATTCGTAGTCTTCATAGCATCCTTGTAAACACTTCTTTGTAATCACTTTCTTGTAAACAACCATCTCTGTAAACATTCCATATATCAATAAAAGTTCAAGTGTACATATTCAAGCAATCTTCAAGTCTTAAGTAAGTTTTCTTTTCCTTCTTTAGTGTGTTTGTTTAATTAGACTTCTAGTCCAAAACAGGGAAACACTATTGTGATTATATTATTAATCTGCTAAACTGACGATCATACTTTGTTCGAGCACTCTGTTATAGTTGAATACTTGCCATACAAATAACTAGACATTAACCAGGGTACCTCTGAGTTCTTTGTACCTCTGAGTTCAACCGTTAAGGCCTTATACTTGTACTGTGAGTGGCCGTCATGCTGAAACATGTCGAGTTCCATGTGCAAGGTTCTATGTCTAGTTGTTATAATGGTCATCTGACTATTTAACCGTGCATGCTTTTCGAATTTGGTATCAGAGCCAAGTTTAGCATTTTAATAATATGATTATAATAGTAAAGTACCTTGAGGACGGAAGTCATTAAAGCAACTGATATCACACTTGTTTATTTTGTATGAATAACATATATTATTGTCCCTGTAGACCTTGTCAACCACAATTACCAGGTATTTATTGTCCTAGACATCCAACTATAAATAGCATAAAGAGAAGATTATCATTTATATCCAAAAGAATTAGCAGGACCTTGAAGAAGCAAAAGTTTTATCTTGGTTATCTTGAACATCCTTCATTTATTAGTAAATATAATAACACTGAAGTGCAGCATAAAGTTTTAGAAGCAAAAAGAGTAACTGACCAAGTTTTAGAGACCCTGAGAGAAGAAAGAGAGGTTCTAAGAAACCAATTAGCTGTAACTTTAGAGAAAGGTAGACTATAGTATATGATAGATTATCTTAATTTAGAAATTAGTGAACCCCAAAAAAGAAAAATAACCTTAGACCAAAATAGTTTAGTTTGTTATTTTCCATCAAGAAAGCATAATCATATTTTGCACAGTGAAGAAAATCCGCAAGCCAATAGTATTATAGATCTTATTATTAGTCAAGCAGAAAATATAAAATTAGAAACTAATAAGCATAATCATTTGTTAAACCAGTTGTTAGAACATTTTCAGAAAAATTCCATAAAGATAATTAGACAAAATTTAGATTATATTACATCTCAGTTAGAAGATAATAATAAAAATATTCAAAGGTTTCCTAGCAAAAGAGAGATAAAAGAGCTTGTTGACCTCATAGATAGTAAGCCAAAGCAAGTAGAACTTAGGTCATTAGAAATAGTTGAACAACTAAAATTAGAAGTTCAAAAAAAATTCAATTCGTACAAAAGGAGTTGAGAGAACAAGTAGATAAGTTGCATAATAAAATAGACAAATTATTAGTTTAATGACAGATTCTAGAACTAGCAGAAAATATATTCAAGCTTTGAAAGAAATTAGTAAATTAGATAAAGAACCAGTAGGATTAACAGATTTTTCAACACAAGTATCCAGTAGTAATATTCCCATTAGGCAAAATAATTTGATTATCCAATTAGTTTTAAGTCTAGCTGAAAAATTAGATCAAGTTGAAGAACAAATAGCAGAAATAAACCAAGTTTTACATAACGCATCTTCATCACTTCCACCATCCTTGCTAGATAAATTAGAAAATTTAACTTTGAGTGCAAATAATAATAGAAGACCTAAGCTAAATCCTTTTGATAATAGAAAATGGAACTCTTTAGGAAAAAAAGGAAAAGAAGTAGTTAGAGCGGAAGATATTTATCCAAATGAAGAAGAAGCACAATAATTTATTCGAAGAGGTTTTGAGAGAACACAGAAAAATAAATATAACTTGTATCAACTAGGTTTATTTGAAAACAGAAGTAGAATTGTAAGCAGCATCAGTCAACATGAAGTTAGTTGTATTGATAAAGAAGTCACACTTAATCTAATTAGTAAAGAAGCAGTTACTCATTTGAGAAAATCACATTTTAGTCAGATTCATATAGGAACAATATTAATTGGAATAGCAGGATTAACCAGAGCACAAGTAGGTACAAAGGCTTTAGTATACATATATGATGATAGATGGGATAATCACCAACAAGCAGCAATAGCAACAGCTGAAGTAGACTTAAGTTCAAACTTAGCAGTCATAGGTTGCATTCCAAATTATGTTATGACGATTAATGAATTTAGTAAATATATTAAAGTGAGCATAAGAACAAAAAATTATAATATGAAAGGAGAATATAAAAATTTGTGTATTAGCTTAATGTATATAGGTAAAGTGTCTGATAGATATAATCATAAGTTTAATTTAGAGTTTCA